CCCCCCCCCAGCCCGGTCTGTCCCGGCCGTGGCGGGAGTCACACCAGCCCCTACCAGTTACCCAGTCAAGCCCTAGCAGAACCATGGGGGGGTGCTGGTGCCCGGTGCCCCTACCAGGCCCTGGGAGTGGCCGCGCGCGCGTGGTGGCCAAGGACAGGGCGGGGCTGAAGGAAAGGGAAGAGCTGGCAGGGTGACCAGTGGACAGTGGCAGGCGCGTAGCGTTTTCGAGAGGGAAGCAGGAAGCTGCCTCCCACCCCTGGGGCGGGGAGAGGACACGGCAGGGGAGAAGTGATTTCCGGAGGGGAAGCGAGGCAGGGAGCTGTGGGAACCCAGCCAGCCCTGCCAGGAAGCCGGCCACACCACTGGCTGAGCCAGCTGGGAGGAGTCAAGGGGGCAGCCCCTGCTCATCAGCCCAATGGGGCATCTGGAACTCGCCGGCCCAGTCCACCCTGTGGGGCTCAGACCCTGCTCTGCCCTTCCCCCAAGGGGCACCTCAAACTCCCAGCGCCACTGCCTGGGGGCTGGAGGGGTCAGGTCCAGGGCTGCCCAGGGCACCTCTTGCCAGCCCGAGGGACAGGGCGGGTCCATGGGCAGCGTGAGGTCCAAGCGGAGTCCTTGCTGGTTTCTGCCCCCACAGCTCCTGCTGCTGCTGCAGGCGGCCAGATCCAGTGCCCGGCTACACCTGGGCCAGTGTCGGAGCCAGAGCAGCGGGAGAGCAAAGGCTGCCCTGGACACCTGGCACCCGCCTGCCAGCCCATCACTCGCCTGCCCCGGAGCAAGAGATGGGGGCACTGCTGGGGCAGGGTGACCTCGAGGAGACAAGGGGCACAGGGCTTAGCCTCGTGGGGCATCGCTGCCAAGGGCCAGGAGACAGAGCCCGGGGGGTCACCGGGGCAGTGCCAGGGGCCGCCCCGGAGCAAGAGATGGGGGCACTGCTGGGGCAGGGTGACCTCGAGGAGACAAGGGGCACAGGGCTTAGCCTCGTGGGGCATCGCTGCCAAGGGCCAGGAGACAGAGCCCGGGGGGTCACCGGGGCAGTGCCAAGGGCCACGTCCAACCAGCCCAAGAGCCCAGTGGCTGGGCCAGGCCATCCAAGCAGTCAGCGGGG